CATATTTACGTAATAAGCTTTATCAATTATGCATATTCATCTTAATGATAAACACGCTTGATTAATTTAAACTATTTCCCGCTAAATAAATTTTATTTCCCGACGCTTTTTGCCCTATTGATTAAGGCGCTTGAGAACACCCATTGTCTGACATTACACAAATGACAATATATATCTGCAACCAATCGAATACCAGTGTGTTGTCGGGTAAATGACATGTAAAAAAAATAACACGCAGCTTTACTGTACTAGCCAAGTTAAAACAGGGCTTAGTATCTTTACTATATCTAAGCCATAAGTATAATCAGACCTACCAATTAAATTTTCTTCAGTGCAATAATAGTCCAGAAGACACTATACGTAGAGAATGTACGACACAGCATCTACTTTTTTTTATTACATGTTACACTACACAATCAAGTAATGAAAATTCTTTTGTTATAATTTTCACTGATTATCAATTTATCATACTGGCAAAAAATCAAAAGAAAAAAAAAAAAATCTAAAAAAGCTCAGGAAGTATAAATATAAACGTAAATTAAAATAGGCACACAAGTGCAAAAAGGATGTTTTTTAAATAAAATTAAGTTGTTTTAAATGTTTCAAATTCTTTTTTTTTTTCTTCTGCTAGTATTGTATCATATCGATATCATATCTATATTATATCTATATCTAATATATATAAAAATAGCAGATGTAAAAATTTCTTTTTATAGATTAAGAGGAAATTTTGGCCACTGATCATATGTACGAATGTGGCACAAAATACGATATATGGTAAAAAAAGAATACACATAAACAAAAATAGCAAAGAATATTACACTGTATTAACAAATTAGGAAATATGAACTGGTCAAAATAGAATATCATTAATGACCAATCATAATTATTCATCACCTATAACAGAATATAACATAACTTGCTTTACTATTACCAATTTAATCATGAATATACAGTAATAGCTACATTGTAGATTTGCAGCTTGAAAATTTATATCTGCTTTCGCATTAGTAAAAATATAGAACAATTTAGAAATTTTAAAATGTTTAAAAACAAGTCTTTTTATTTTAGAATAATTCAAAAATAAACTCACAGCTATAAGAAATAACCTTGACTGAATAGTAAAAAAAATTAAGATCTTTCGCTATGAACTTTGATGATCAATGATTTCCTATTTACAAAACTAGTAAATATCTAAAAATTACTTTAAACAATAAACACTAACAGAATTTTATCCTATATTATTTTATACTATTTGCAGTATTACAGTATTTTAACAATTACTGCAACAGCTTTATAATATTTAGATACAACAGTATTAAAAAAATTAATCTTGTATATACAAAAAATTAGGCTATACATGTTCATTACAATAATTTAAAGCTAACTATATTCAGACCAATAGACTTTTTGGTCTGTCTGGTTTATAAAAAACCAGATTGGCCCAGTTTTAAGAAGAACCACAGGACCGGCAGTTTTAATCAAAACTAATTAATATCTCTAATTCTCTTATGTTTTTTCATATATATTTTTTAATTTAGATATTTCGACATTATTTAGACATTTTGGCATAATTTAGAATTTCAACAATATTTAGACATTTTAGCAAACTAAATATCAAATGTCGAAATATTTCTACAAGTATAAAACAATTTCGGCTAACAACATTATCTGGGGGTGGATTTAAGATTGTAGTAGCATTAAAAAACTTTATCAATTCTATCGCTTCTTTATCACCAATGTTACTAAAGAGCCTAAAAACCTTTTTACCCTTTTTCTTTCTTTTTTGAAGATTAGTCTCGGTAAGTTTATCTTGTACAGAAATCTGATCTCTGATTCTATCATTAATTCGAGCATTAAATATATCCTTATTACAAGTTTTTCTAAAATGATTGAGCAACTGCTTAATGGCTTGGCCAAAATTATAATAACAATATCAAATCAAATCATGTAGTGTTCCACAAAAAATCCAAGTCTGGTCCAGTCTGTACACCAGACCGAATTCGAATCCTTATTAAGATTTATCCAGTCCAGTATTAAACATAAGCTAGCTTTTCTTTTTGGTTAAAAATGTTGTAACAAAGTGATATAAAGACGAGCAGAGTCATCAGAGAGATATGAAGGGTAATAATTTTTTACTAAAGAGGTTTTTTTTTAGGAACGGACTGGACCCAGATCCATAACTTGGATCTCAGACCAGACCCGGATCTTTAAAAATATCTGCCCAGTTCGGTTCATGCGGAACACTAAAATTATAGATGGTTCTCTAAAAATTGTCTTCAGCAGTATCAATCTTATTATATAAATCGAGAAAACCAAGCGAGCCTACATCTATCTCAGAGACACTCGACTGCAAAGTGATGGGGCCTTCAACTTGTTGGTGGGTTGGTGAAGTTAATTCCTGAATTAATTTTTTCAATATAGGAAAATCCTCTCTTTTAACCTTTTTTTTGGCTTTTTTGCTAGGTGATTTATTTTTAGAAGTATTCACAAATGATCTTTTGTGGGGGCTTTTAATAAATTATCTTCACCTTCTCTATTATCTACATCTGACATGTTTTCTTTTGAAATTTCTTGAGGACTTCAAATATTATATTTTTCCATTCTTCTAACAATTGATGTCATGCTTGATTTTGAATTCCGTCTAGAAAACTGATCAAGAATTTCAATACTTTTTTTGCAGTTTTTAACAGGACATATATTTTCTTTGGTAAGTAAAATTTCTTTATTGATACAAATTCTATGAAATATATGACTACAAGCTAGTATTGTGAATGACTTAATAGGACTTAAAAAATTTCTTTATTACATAATACATATTTATCTAGTTCTGGGAATTTTTTATTTTTAACAATAGGATCATCAAAATATTTTAGAATATTAAATGCGAGGTTTTTAAAATTAGTAACAGATATTTTGTCCTGGGTTGCGAAAGTGTTATTTTGTTCTGACATAATAGAAATTTTATTCACTGAATACAAGATAAGTTTTTATAACAAAATTCTTTATACTTAGCTTATTTATATACTTTATTCTTCATGACTAACAAACCTAATTTGCAGATTTAAAAAAACTAATTTTGGGTTTAGCAATCCATTTATTTACAAATTAGTATAGGGAGGGATCACACGCATTTTTTTGCATAACTATATATCATTTTAATCCCCTATTCGTACCTGATACAAATCTACCAATAACCTATAAAGAAATTTTATTATGTAGAATGGATTATGCTATAGTGCCCATTATATTTCATAGGATCAGATCTATAAATCACTAGTATAATTTCTATTCTTATCTTATTCTAACATCAAAGGCATCAGATTGACTTGTATAATGCTAATTTAAAGATTCATAATAGGTGTAATATGCCAGAATGTTCTGAAAAAAAGTTGGCAAATTAATTATTCATTAATCTATTCCCCATAGATTAGCAAAAATACATAACCTGCTATATAACACCGGACACAGTTAAATCACATGACCTTATCATGTGAGAGAAGCTAAATAACCCCTTTGTTCTCACAAGCTCAAAAAAATATATTTAAACTTATAAAACTGTTATCTAGTACTGATAACTTCTATATCTGGCTTCGAGTGATTTTATCATGAGAAGGCGGGGATAAGGTATTTTGATATATTATTGGCATGGAACAAACCTATTCCGACATTAGTGCTCATAATAAGATTGAGTATATGAATTCTTGGAGGCTTTGGGATTATTAGATAATGAAGTTGTGCCTATCACTATGGATAATAGCAACAATAACAAATCTAATATTGACAAAGAAGATAGTGATGATGAAGATAGTAATGATGATCAGGTCAATTATTGGAACTAGAACCCTAGAAAAACATATGCCAGATGGGATTAGGGAGCTAACAATTATCAGGTGATTTTCTAGGAGGTCAAAAAAATTAGAATTTTATATATGAGATCTGATAATTTATATATTAAAAACTGGGGGGGTAAGCCTCTGATAAAAAAAAAATCAGGTGATAAATGACACTGCTTTTATCAAAGATGTTTTGGTGAAAAAACTTTGAAAAAACTTTATTAAGCCCAGGAAGCTTGTCAACATTTTATTCTTCTTAGGCTATTTATCATATGCCTTTTTAATTTATCTAAGCAAGCAAAAAATAGATTATTTGTTGCATTTTCTAGATCTAATTCATTTGAAGTATTAGAACACAATGCATTATTAGATGCTTTAGCTCATCTTGTAAAAGGTTTAAATCTTTTTGAATATGATAAACTTGGGTTTAATTTAATTAACAAAGCAAAATTGTAACCAAGTTTTTGGTGTTTTTAGATTATTGAATGGATAATTCCCTAGCAGATTATCTCTGTAATACAATTACTCTTTTAATTAATAAATTAAAAGTAAGATCAAAGCTTCTCAAAATTTCAAGTTTATTAGCATTTTAATAATACTGGTCTTGAGCATATTTCATAAATGGTCCATTAACTTAATAAAGCTATTTAATTACTGCATACTGGATTATTTTAGCCGAATTTATTCGTTTTTGCCATAAACAATATGTTTGCTAGATAATAGTTGCTGATCAATTTTTTATATACAAAGCTACTTGGATTTTAAACTCTTTAAATTTGGAATTATTGGCTATATATTCATTTTTGGTTAGATTGTTTTTTACACAAAATACAAAATTTTTTCAATGATTCTTTCTATTAATATTATAATCTAGCATTAATAAACATCTTCATATATATTCAGATGGATGATACTTTGCAAATCATAACCATGCTTCTGGCGTTTTTAGATTATTAATATAGTTTAACCTATATCCAGTTAACATGGATTGGGCATAATTATTTTTTATCTATTCCTCAAAAATATCTTGAATATTGGCCATATTTATGGTTCGATTTTATTAACTAAGGCTTTTATTTAATAAGTATGAGTTGAGGACCAATCAATCTAGTGAATGATTAGTGAAAAGAAGAGGGATATACACTTTATAGATTTTTATTTTACATTGATATCGCCAATTTATAAAAAAAAAATATTAATATAAAAATATATCTCTTAATGGTAATCTCAAGAATAGTTATCTGACCTGTGGGTCGATAACATAGTGGTTATGCTCCCAGGTTGCAAATTGAATAGTTGCCGGTTTAATTTCTTCCAACGGTGGATTAATGAAAATTCGAAAATAGAAGTGAAATATCATGGAGTACAGAGAACTCAGGATATCTACAGATAGACATATTCAGGGAATAGTTATTCCGAGAAGTTGTGGCTATGAAGCGAGACATATTAGAACTCTGATTTGGAATAACCGAAGTCACAAGATATAATGTAAGGCTGAAGTCTAATAAAGATACTACAAGAACTCATGGTGACACCGGATTTGCTGGTAATAGTGCTACAAATTACCAAAAATTTTGCAATCGATTAGTTGTCAACTTTTCGATTATTCGATTTTTATTTGATTTTTGTTCAATTTTTATTCGATTTTAGTATGAGTTTTCAAAAATTTTTCAATCGATTAGTTGTCAACTTTTTGATTGGTTGTGATTTTCGATTTTTGATTTGTAGCACTAATTAAAAGACTATTAACAGATTTATGATCCGGTTAACTTACAGTTAACTTAAAATATAATACATACTAATATATGAGCAATGTCAAGGAAAGCAGGTTTCAATCATATAAAACTTATACAGTATAGCCTTATTTTCTCTTGGAATATTTTGATATTTATACTGATTTATTAATTGTGAAGCACGAATAATTTTCAAATAGAAAAAAATGTGATTAGTTACATTTACTTAATACGCTAAACAAATGTGAAGATTTCTTGCTTCACTAAGAATTATTCAGATTTAGTTGGCATCATATAATTGGGTTTGCTTGACATGATGTCGACTAAATGAGCTGTTGATAAAATAATTGTCAATGAAGTAAAAGGAATCGCTAATTACTGTGCGATTGAAAATTTCTTTATAAGACCTAAGCAAATGCCCTGAATTAGGTTCTATTGTATAAAAATTTACCTAAATATATAATTGTTATTATATTGATATAGTCATATAAAATAATGCAAATATTTTTGTAGAAATTTATATCAAATTTTTATAATTTAATAACTAAATTACATGATTGCTTATTTTTTTATAGTGTTAATATAATTTTGATTTACATAATTTGGCCAGAAACAATGGAAAATTTCTATGCAGTTCAGTATATAGATAGTAAAATGGTTTAATTTTATTATAGACTGAATTATTTGTCCGAAGGACATTATGGGGGAGTCATAGTAATCTGATCATATGTGTGTTCACAAATTAAGGGCTTTGATTGGTTGATTGATAAAAACAAATATTTGCTCCGAAAATACTCATTGTCAGACTGATCTGTGATAAGTTCTTTGGATCTTAAATAGTTTCTATTTATCTAGTAAATTCTTGATTTATAATTAATTTCAAATCTGATTAAATATCCTAAGTCAATCCTTAGTATATAGATGATTCCAACCATAATTTTGAGTTTATGCTGTATATATAAATTCTAAGTACTTAAAAAATTGTCAATAACTGAATCGATAAATTTTGTTTGTTTTGAATTAGTAGCTTAAGTACTCATCAATTTGATTTTTGAGAAATTTTTGGCCATTCTAGAATTTATGGAAACTGGAAATTATAAGCTAGGTAATGGGCAAGATTTTTATAAGAGGACTGTAATCACTAAAATCAATTTGTTATATTCTGACTAATAATAAAATATGCATAGAAATCATCTAGGGCCTACCAAAAGTGCTGTGACATGTCTAGATAGTTGGCCTGCATTAATATAATTAGATTGATAGCCTTCAAACCTTTAATTTGCTAAGAATTAGCTTTTTCAATTTTTTTTTAAAAAAAAATACATTTTTTCAGGCCTTATACCAACAATTGCTCACTTAACTGCAATGGGCCACAATTTGCAACCAACCCTCCCTCTCTCTCAAAAGAATCTGGCCATTTTTATAATATCAATATCACATACTAATATTGATGGTAGGCCTGCATTATGCAGGCGAGTTAAAGCTAAACCGCACAGATTTAACTGCTATATAACTGAAAATATTAATATCACATGTTTATACTGATGGCCGGCTGGTATTATACAGGTGAGAAACTACCAGCCAGTGCTAAGCCATATAATAATAAGCAACTACTTAAAGTTATCTCTCAGCACAATATTATTGCAATTTCTAAAAGCATATCTTGTTTTGGATTCAATAGCACACTAATCACAGCTAAATAAATCTGCCATTTTCAAAATTATAACTACTGAATATTAATATTACATCACATGTTTATATTACAGAACATCCAATAAAAAATTGACCAAATGATTGTTTGGCTAATGATAGGTTTTTGATTTCGGCTATGAATAATTGTGTAATAATGTGTATAACAGAAAATATATATCAATATCACTATTTTATTTTTGCACTTGTGATAAGTTGGATATTATATTAGATTCAGTTGCTATTACTTTAGACAAAGTTGGATACGTATTCAGCTTCAACAGTAGTTACTTTAGAC